TTTCTGCGGCTCCCAATAAGCACACAGTGTCTTTCCTGAGTTTATTGACTCACAAAAGATTTATTTGCAGAGAGTGATGGCTGATCGTCATAGAAACGAACAAATAAACATTTGCAGAGCAGGAGAGGAAGAGGCTCCATAAACGTTCAGTGCTTTGTGTTTCATTTCCTGCAAAACATACAGTAGCAGACTTTACAAACGTCCAGATGTATTACAAACATACTTAATTGTTTATTGAATTTTATAGCCCACAGATGTTTTTTGTTTTTTTTGTTTTTTGTACAAAGGCTTGTGTGTACAGTATGTTGAGTGTGAAGTCATTAACCTAACTTACAGAAGTTGTGATGTTGAATGTTTTGAAGTACACTACCGGTAAAAAAAATTTGGGGTCAGTACGATTTTTCCAAATTCCAATGTTTTAAAATAAACTTAAAATGCTCGCATTTATTTAATCAAAAATACAGTACAAATTGTAAAATGTTAATGCATAGGCATATTATAACTGTTCCAAAGTTGTTTAGAATTTTAATAATTTATTCCAGTGATTTTAATGATGATTTTTTTTAGCTTCGTTACTCTAGTCTTCAGTCACATGATCCCTCAGAAATCACCCTAATATTAATGATTATTATTATTGTTAGTTTTATTATTATTATTATTATTATTATTATCATTATCAATGGAGATAATAATAAAAGCAATAATGACTGGAGTAATCATTTCATTTGAAACTACATACAATAAGAAAGCAGTTATTTAAAATTGAAAAATAAATATTTAAACCAAAAAAAATTACATTTAATAAATGGCGCCTTGATGAACTGAATAATTTTCTGTAAAAAAAAATAAAACATGAGAAAAAATACTGACCCCAAACTTTTGACCGGTCGTGTACATTTGCGCAGGTTGCCAGATTGATGACACCAACAGAAGTGTGCCTGACTTTCGAGAATAAAGGCTGATTTGTCGTCTACAAAATAAAAGCAACGACAAGCGATAGAAGAAATATTTTAGTTTTTGTTCTAACACCTGAAATTAATATTTTAGAAAGGACTTCAATTTCTTGCAGCTAAACAGAAAACTGATATTGATCACCTCAGATACAACTCATGTGCTTCATTCAGTGTTAAATGCTAACAATGTAAGTTTGAATGCCATTTTACATGACATTTATTGCCGTTCTACTGAAAGCAGCAGCAGATAGTTCACCTCAGATCTCAGAAATAAACTGTTTGAAATTAACTGTGACTGTATAGACAGACTAAATTCCAAACAGCCAAATTGCTTATTGCAAATCTGGCCAGGTAGCGCGTTTTTAGGACACAGGGTTACAATGTAACCTGCTCACCTAATGTTTATGTTCGTTAAATTTATATTATTGGCTAATTAAAAACTATCTTATGTGAAACTCTGAATCTGCGTCTCATTTCGGAGTCTGCTACCGTCCACCGGAAGTTGCATTTCGATCATAGACACACACTTAAGAGCCTTTCCAATTAATGAATGAATGAAATGCGCGTTTTCCTGCAAGGAACCCGGGTTGCTGAAACATAATTGGCTATACTGACATTGGGCGGGTTGAATGACCAAAACAAACACAGAGGTTCCTGCATGTAACTAGCATTTTCAAAGCTGAATATCTGACTTTAGAATGGTTTTTCAGATAAACAAGAATGTTCACTCAGCATTAGGGATGGGAAGATTAACCGATATGTATCGATACGCGGTCATGCGCGTGCACGATGCGAGTGCATCGGTTGGGCAGCAGAGGATGAATGAAATTTTGGAAGCAAATCGAGATGCATCGGTTTTTGCGAGATGCATCGATTTTTCCGAGATACAGCTTATATTTTTAATATAGAATGTATTTTTTATTTATTAACAAGTGTTGTCAACCTGTTTTGGCGCATAATTTAATCGACCTACATAAAGTAAGCCTTAGCAACGGATTTGCGGATGTGCACACACTACAACTCAGTGTATCAGGTGTGCGGATGAAGCTAGTGGAGCGCCCTCAGAAAGCGCGAGAAGCAAAACAAACATTTTATTCCCCACTGAGTTTTAAATCTAAAGTATGGCAAGCAACATTATGGATTTAAGGATGGACGACATGACAGGACAGATGCAATTTGCAAAATGTGCCGCGCATCTGTAAAATACGCGGGCAGTCCGACTAATCTGATATCTCACTTGAAGCGGCGCCACGGTGTTGTTGTGAAAGCATCTTCCAGTGTTTCTGCATCCCCGGCTTTCGCACTGCTTCAACCAGCTCCAAAAGTGGTGAGAAAAGCATTGAAAGTTTTTTTTTCCATGCGCAACAGTTCTGCTCGCTCTACGCCAATAACGGATGTTATTGCATTGTTCATCTGCAAAGATATTCAGCCTAGTGTCACGGAGAACGAAGGTTTTAAACACCTCCTCCTGTTAATTTTTATTTAATAATAATAATATTAATAATAATAATGATAAAAATAATTGGGTGTCACGGTGGCACAGTGGGTAGTTTGACCACCTCACAGCAAGAAGATTGCTGGTTTGTTATATTTTTATTAGCCTGTTGTTTACAGTGACAGTGATGTTTCAAAGCAGCATAACACTGCTAGTTCACAACCTTAAGTTTTGAATAATCAGTGGCAAAATATCTTTATAAAACTTGTTTTCATAGTTGAAAAGTTAAATCACAATTCTTGTTGTGCAATGCTAAATTTATTTATGTTGAAAGAGTGCAAATATATACATATTTTTTATATATATTGCACTTATACATTCTGTTTATCTTGAAAATACTTAAATAATATGTGCTATATTATCTAAAATGGCCCTCTACTGTAAACTGACACTCTGGCTCTGAGAGAAGAGCCAGTTTGTAAAAAAAAGTCTTGGTTTAGCTTGGTTTATAAATAATCAAACTCATTCAATGGCACAGCATCCTCTTTCACATCATCTCATAAACTTGATCTAATAAGTTAGTGCTGAAATATCGCATCGTATCGTGATATGGGTGTGAATCGTATCGTGTTGCATCGCAATATGTCACAAATGTATCGCTAATATATCGGATCGTATTCTTTGTATCGAGATGCGTATCGGATCGGCATTATAGCTTAGATGCCCAACCCTACTCAGCATGTTTCTTAAGTATCTGCAAACACATTATGGTATTTTTATGTTTTAGAAGAGTCTTTGGGAATGTTTGGCCATTCCTCTTTGCAGTACCTTTTAAACTCTATCAGATTGGATGGAAAGCGACTGTGTACAGCCATTTTCAGATCTCTTCAGAGATGTTTAATAGGATTTAGGTCTGGGCTCTGGCAGGGCCACTCAAGGAAATTTACAGAGTTGTTGTGAAGCCACTCCATTGATATTTTGGTGGTGTGCTTTGGGTCATTGTCCTGCTGGATAAAAAACCGTTGCCCCAGTCTGAGGTCAAGAGCACTCTTAACCAGGTTTTCATTCAGGATGTCTCTGTACATTGTTGCGTTCATCTTTCTCTCTATCCTGACTAGTCCTCCAGTTCTTGCTGTTAAAAAACATCTTCACAGCGAGATACAGCCACCACCATGCTTCACTGTAGGGATAGTATTAGCCTGGTAATGAGCGGTGCCTGGTTTTCTCCATATGTAACGCCTGTCATTTACTCCAAAGAGTTCAATTTTAGTCTCATCAGAGTAGAGTTGGGCCGATAGACGATGTCATTGTTCATCACTGATGGCCAACAGACAACACGATGCTGAGCCGGTATCGCCAATCCTCCGCCCTGCCCTCGTCGCAAACCCGTTCTCGAAAGATACACACTTAGGCCCATTTTACATTAATATGTCTGGGTGTTAAAATGGCATTTTAGAACGAAAATGATCCACATCCACAGCGTGTTTTACCTAGCATTTCTGAACAGCCCTCCTGTCCGCTGAAAACGCACATCACCTAACCACACACAGCCTGCCATACACACACACACACACACACACACACACACACACATACAGCCACATACAGCCACAAACTGTCATGCGCTCCTCTGAGCTCCAGAGAGCAGTGCACATTGGACAGTTTATCAAGGATATACCACTGGATCACGTCTCACTAAAGTTGTAAAACTTGATATTCAGACATCCCAAGTCTCCCGGATTTCCTGGAGTCTCTATGCATAAGTCACGCACCCTTCTCACCCCCGCATCCCTTCTCGCTATTCAGACACGTCGTGCGCCTTTTCAAACACCCCGCCGCCCCTACACATACACACACAAACACACACACTGCCCACCCCCACGGTTTTCACATGATGACGATGCCATTGTCCACCGCCATGTTTCACATTAGACATTGTATGATGCCATATTGGTCAACATCGCCCACCCCTACATCAGACCAGATAATTTTGTTTTTTTATGATCTTGAGAGTCCCTCAAATGCCTTTTTTCAAATTTCGTCTGGCCACTCTACCATACAGGCCTGATTGGTGGATTGCTGCACAGATGGTTGTCCTTCCGTAAAGTTCTCCTCTCTCCACAGAAGAACGCTGCAGCTCAGACAGAGTGACCATGGGGTTATTGATTTACCTCCTTGACTAAGGCCCTTTTCCTCAATCACTCGGCTTACATGGCCAGCCAGCTCTAGGAAGAGTCCTGGTGGTTCCAAACATCTTCCACATAAGGATGATAGAGGCCACTGTGCTCATTGGACCTTTCAGAGCAGCAGAACTTTTTCTGTAACCTTCCCCAGCCTTGTGCCTCAACACACCTGCCTCTGAGGTCTACAGACATTTCTATGTCTAACGAGCTTCAGAATAATTATATTATTGATTGTGTTGTATGATTGTATGGTCTATTGCATTCTAGCTGTGTTTGTAAATTGTCAAAATGTCTTCATGTTTTTTGTTGTTGTTGTTGTCAGTTTTACAAGCCGCTATGCAAGTGTCATCATACTGACAAACAGTTTTCATGAATCACATCTTCATAAATCTCTTGACATTAAAACTCTTCGTCTCTTATTCCCCGCAGGTCCCCAAGGCTGGAGAAAACTTTATTAAACTCTGTAAGAAAGGATATTACGATGGCACAGTATTCCACCGCTCTATTCGAAATTTCATGGTGGGTAAATTACTTTTAATTTATTATAGGATATTTTGTTGAATTTATTTATTTTGAAGTTTACTGTATGTGTAAGGTTTTAATACAGTTTACATTAAGTGCATGCGTGTGAGTGTTATGTTGCTGCCAATTATAATAGGAATGATATAAAATTGCATTCTGTTACCCATTGAATGCTTAATTATGACTGGTTCATATCACTTTTTCGTATAGTTTATTTCAAAGTTCCTTACAACTTAAAACAGCAAAATAAGCAAAACAACTGACCAACCAAAACACATACAATTCAATTGGATAAAAATAATTTACATCTCCATCAGTCTGTATATCCATTGATCGGGCCTCAGTTACCATCTCAAAAAATTGTTAGCAATGTAGAATTAGGATGAGATATGTGGAAAGAATTAGTCACAAAAATGCTTTAAGGACAAAGTTTGACATGTTTTTTATAAAAACTGATTTTAGATATACCGAAATGTATGTTGATTATTAGGAAAAGAATGACTGCATCTGAAGTAGTTTAGAGTTTCTAAGTGCTCGCTTATAGAAAAAAAATCTTATCAGGGTATATTTATATAATACAAATATTAAATTGTATTCATGATGCGCTTTTCTTAAAACTCAAAGCGCTACTCATGTACATATATCTTATGTATGATATATACAACAACAATATGATATATACAACAACAAATAAAAAACCAACCCCAGCCAAAATTACAAGCTCACATAAAATAATAAGTAACAAGTCAAAAATCACACTCTGTATGTTATGTTATATGCATATTAATATATGTCATATGTTGTTTTTTGTTTTCAGATTCAAGGAGGAGACCCTACAGGGACTGGTACAGGTAATTATTTTAAGATTTAATAAGAATTATATTTAGTTTCCATCACTCGGGTATAATGGTATGCTGTTTTCAGACTGATACCTAGTTTTGAGAAGTGTGTTCACAGCAGTAGTGGTATTTAATATAGATTTTGTTTTTACAGGAAAGAGCAAGTAGAGCATTATTTCAAATTATACATGAAATCTGTTATCATTGATATGCATTGTATATTGAATCTAAAGCTTAGACCGTATATATAATAGATGACACCACCTGATGCTGTATTAAAAGGTCATAATTTTTTTACTAGAACAATTTAACATGCTTTAATTTTCAAAACGCATTATTTTACTGCACATTTACTGCAGCGCCTCTATTGCAAGTGTTTGTGAAATTATCTGATTGAGAGGTTTCTATAAATCCCTGCCTTTAAAAAGCACATGGTTGCCTGATTAGCCAGCTGACCCAATGCTTTATGATTGGTCAAAGACCACAAGCGATTATCAGAAATGTAATACTTCTTACCATTATCACCAGTTTCAGGCTACTAAAGCATATATAAAGACAAACAGTTAAAACATCCTTTTAACTCTATCATTTTGAACTTGAGTCACAATCCGATATCTATGTCAGTGGTCGAGCAAATCAGTCAGAATCAACTTTATACATTTATTTATACAAAATAGTCTTAATTAGTTAAATAAATAAAATAAAATTAATTAAATAAAACAGTTGCATTCAAATATAAAATACAGCTTTTCCACTAAAGACCAAAATGAGATATGGCGTGCTGATGATGTTGATTTAGATTTGTTGTTTTTATCAGCTATTTTCTCCCCATATGTTTTACAGTCCTTTTGTCTTGACATCAACCATCTTCTTTTTCTCTTTGCTGTTGCTATTTTATTATAGTTTATCAGACAGACCCCTATGGATGATGATGTAATCGCATCCCGTGTCTACTGCGGACCAGTTACTTTTCGAATGTGCATTTGCGCATCATGCATCACACACCAAGATTAGTTCTGATAGCATATTTTCCAAAAAACCTCTCTCAGTCATATTCTCGTCTCCTTTTTATTAGTCAACGAAAATGTCACTATATTTTTATTATAGTTGTTGTCATCGTCACTTAATAAACTTTTTCGTCACGAAAATTATGACATTTCTAGTCAACGAAATGAACACTGCTACATGTCTGAACACAATGTACAGTGTTTTTATGTTGTTGCTGCTGCACAATATTATTTTCAATATGGAAGAAATTATTTCATTATCAGTTTATCGAATAAAATACAAATTACGTTGTACTCAAACTTGTGACCATTAATTGTAAATCCAAACAAACCCAGATTTCTCTCATGTAGTCTCTTAATTTAAAATTGCTCATATTTTGACTTGCTGATCAGAGGATCATTTTACTACTTTCTTCAACTTTCTAAATAGCGTGACCTCAGCTTACTTCTCCAAACATCAATCTGAATGCTGTTTTGAGCCACATTTCTCAGGGATGTTTGTCGTGTGCTCGTAAGTGTTAAAAGTCTGTCTGAGAAACAGAAGGCTAAAGAGCTTCTGCACTCAATTCCCTCAAAAAGCCATGTACGTATCTAAAATTCAGTCCCATAAAAAATGCACAAGCCTCACCTGAGTAGAGAGAAAGATTGAGAGCAAGTAGACTGAAAGATTTTTTTTTTCCTTGAACGGAGAGTGAATTTAAAGTGTTGCGTATTAGACTTGAAGGTCAGAAGCAATTTCTGTTTTCCAGTCATTCTGACTCGACTCGTGTGTTTGAGACCAGGTTTGACCTAAAAATAGATTCAAATGGAGGAAGTGATTTTGCATCAGTACAAAATGTTGATCGGCTGTCCCGAATATGTGCTTTTAGTCACTTGAGTGGGACATTTTAGTACAGTAAGTGACCGTTGATGTATGTCAGAATAGAGTTTGCTGTGTATTCAATCTCTAATAATGTGGCACTTCATAATTAACATCATTCTCTGGATAAAAGGCGATTATTTTACAAATCATCGTTGTCGTAATTGTATAATAGTAAAATTTAAACCATAAAGATCATGTGCTGGCCTTGCTCCATAGTGTTCCACCGGAAAAATTTATTTATCATCTCCAGGTTGGAGGAAAGTCCTTACCCCATGTGGAGGAGTTCAAGTATCTTGGAGTTATGTTCAAGAGTGAGGGAAGGATAGAACATGAGATTGACAGACAGCAGTAATTCGGTTGATGTATCTGTCCGTTGTGGTAAAGGAGCCAAGGCGAAAGACAAAGCTCTCGATTTACCGGTCAATCTACGTTCCTACTCTCACCTATGGTCATGAGCTCATGACCGAAAGGACAAGGTCTTGGATACAAGTGGCTGAAATGAGTTTCTTTCACAGGGTGGCAGGGTGCACCCTTATAGATAGGGTGAGGAGCTCTGTCATCCTGGAGAAGCTCGGAGTAGAGCTGCTGCTCCTCCACATCGAGAAAAGTCAGCTGAGGTGGCTCGGGCAACTGTTTTGGATGCCTCCTGGATGCCTACCTAGGGAGGTGTTTCCACCTCGAGGATGACCAAGGACACACTTGAGGGACTTTGTCTGTCGGCTGGTCTGGGAACGCCTCAGTATCCCCCGGAGGAGCTGGAGGAAGTGTTTGGAGAAAGGGTAGTCTGGGGTTCTCTACTGAGACTGCTGCCCCTGCGACCCGACCCGGCCTTAAAATAATCTATATAAAATCAGAAAAAAAGTTACTTTGTAGCTTTCCACTTTTTTCATGCTCAAAAACACACACAGTAGCTGACACACATTGAAAAGCATTTATAGTAGAATTGCCAGAACGTTATTAAAAAGTTTGTTTCCTAAAAAGTGAAAAGGAAAGATATAAGGGGTGAGCTCTTCCATCCATTAACAGATACATACTGATAACTACTGACATTATGCCAAACCATAATAATATGGCATATTTCATTTTATTTTGAAAGCTTTGATCATGTATTCAGCTGTCCTTCAAATAAATAGTATTAGTCAAATTATTAAAATTGTGTTTTGGATGCAGCAATAAGAAGTCATGAGAGTGACGGATCACACCGTGTTCCTTTGAAGAGACGCTGTGTTCTTTAATAATGCTGCGCGGGGAATGAATGTGCAGTAATTATGATGCTGCAGGATTCATCAACATCATTAAATCAAGGCTTCTTTACACACCGGCTTGTTTCTGTGAAGCAAAAAACATCACAACTCACGCTGACATAGCCGTTATAGGCATATGACAGATGGTAAAGAAATATTAGAATATACAATCTTGACTTGAAACAACAAATTGAAGGAAAATCAAGAAAATGAGGTGATGTATTTATTTGAATATACTGTCTACTTTATATTTATTTGATAATGTGGCAATTATACATTTTTAATCAATTCAGTTCCATGGAATAATCAGATTAACAACAATTAATTGCATATTTTATGTGTAACTGGTTTTAAATTGCCTAATGTTGACTCGAAACAAAGGTTGCGCATCAATCTTAATTCTCTCCATTGACTTTATATAAACTCTTATGGCCCTATCCTACACCTGGCACAATAAGGCGCAAGGTGTGGATGGTGCGGTTTGTTGCTGTTTGCAGACTAGCATAACCCGAATTTTCACATTTTGTGACATGTGTTTAAATATAAAATCCATTTGTGCCACTTTGTGGACTCATGGGTGTTCTGGTCTATAAAGAAGGTGTGTTAAGGTGCATAGTTGGTGCATTGCTATTTTGAGGAACTGAAATAAGCTGCGCCATTGAACAACTGAAAGCCGGTTGAAAGTCAGCGCAGGGCGCATTAGTTGTGTGCCTATGCAATTCCATACACTTACACATGCTTAATACACACAGGATGTACAGCAACACACAAATGTCTTTACACATGTAAAAATTAAAGTATTAAAATGTTGCAAAAGTGATTATTTTCTACATAAATATAAAAACCACTGCCTCCATACCTCCTTCAGCTTGGGGGGCTTTTTTTTGTTTATTCATGACAATTTGCATTAGAATAATGATATTATTATTCGTGGTATTATTTATTATATGCAGATTAATATTTGTTTTAATAAAAACAAGTGTAGATTTCTCCACCTGTCTGGTGTTGGAGACTGAGAATAATATATAGTTTAATAACTAATTTCTAATTATTTATTTTATCTTTGCCATGATGACAGCAAATAATATTTTACTAGATATTTTTCTAGACACTTCAATACAGCTTAAAGTGACTAGGTTAATTAGGTTAACTAGGCAGGTTAGGGTAATTAGGCAAGTTCGAAAAACAAATATAGCTTAAAGGGGCTAATAATTTTGACCTTAATGTTTTTTTTTATTTAAAACTGCTTTTACTCTAGCCAAAATAAAACAAATAAGACTTTCTCCAGAAGAAAATATTAAGTGCGTGCGTGTGTGTATATGAATATATATATATATATATATATATATATATATATATATATATATATATATATATATGTATATATATATATATATATATATATATATATGTATATATACTCGGGCTGTCAAAATTAGCATGTTAACGCACGTGATTATTTGAAATATTTAACGCATAAAAAAAAATACCGCAAATAACGCAGTTGCCGTTTTTTTTTTTCTTGTTGTGGCCGGCACGTCCATAGAGGCGACAGGCACCCACCTTGGGCAGCAGAATATGAGCGAACCTCCCGGTCCTCACATTCATCCGCTACAACCACTCCTTCCCTTAAAAATAAAACCGCGTGATTGCCGTTTGCCTAGAGCACCAGTTTAGTTTGCTCTGGTCCTGCGTGTGTTTAACGTGCAAAGAACAATAGATAAGACCAAGGACGCACTTTTAGAAAAAAGTTTCAGTATTAAACAATTAATGTGGCATCACCTGGCTTTTCTGAGTTTCCAGAGTTTCATGCAATTTTGGGTGTTTCATTTTTTAATCTTTAGACTTTAACTGCAGTTCAGCAGTTCACTCTCATTCAGCATATTTTCATTCAGGATGTTTTAATGGAATTTGATACCGCATGGCGAACGTAAAGAAAAAACATTTCGGGACTCATGTGATCCTTTAAGGTAATCAAAAATTGCTGCCTACATGGTCGACTCTTAATCAGTAGTATCTTAATCATCAAAGCTGAGTATTAGTGTCCATGTGAATGGAAGTGCCAGATGAATTCGCAAGCTGTCAAAGACAGACCATTTCTCCTCCTTAAGCTGTGTCCATGAGCCCTCAAATGTTTCCCCCCTATTGTAAAGTGTCTGCTTCAAGTTGGTGTATCAAAATCTTTGCTTGTGAAATACAGCCATACTTTAGAACGCTTAGTTTGAGCAAATTTGATGAACGCGATCGTGCTTGTTGATGTATCTGAAGGGATCCCTATCGCTAACCGGCACTGCGTGCGTGTGCATGTGTGTTTGTGTGTGTTTGTGTGTGTGTGTGTGTGTGTGTGTGTGTGTAGTCCACTAAGAATCCAACATAGAAAGCATTTTTGTTTGTTATTGGCATGGATTGTTTTGAAATTCAAATGGCACTTACATGCCTGTTTTTTTTTTTCTGTAATTAATACGGCATTTTGTGATTAATTACAAAAAAGTGTTATTAATCACGTAAATTTTTTTAATCATTTGACAGCCCTTATATATATGTATATTCATAAATAATTATAATAGATAAATAATAATATTTGTTGTTTTTAATCTTGTCTGCCTTTTTATTCTGTCCAGTTGATTTATTTATTCAATTTTATCCACTTCCAATAACACTTTTTTCCCCCCTCTGTTTTAATCAAGTCAGTGGCGCAGGGTTGGAAATGTCAGCAAGGTCATAAATTATGCAGAAATGTCACCTGGGGAATGTTTTATGAGGGCGTGTGCTGTAAAGCCAGCACTCCACAACGACACCAGCTGCCGGACGGTAAACAGTTGAGCTAAAATCATGCGCTACTGCTCATGGACTATTTGAAAACTCTCACTTAACACTAAATTCAGTAGATACCTGCGTCTTAAACAGTGTCTGAGTTCTGGAAATGTTTCTAATTTTAATTTGAGTCTTATGTTAGCCTCTGCGCACACTCACATATATACATGATCACTTGCTGTGAGATGTGCCATCCAGCTGAGCTTTTGATTGAGCGTGATGAAGCGTTAATTAGTGTACCTGATTTGGCGGGCTTTGGCATGAGGTGTTTGTTTATGGTGGCAGAGGACGACGCATGGTGCCTGTGCAAGGGGCAATGGGTTACTCATTTTATAAATGGTTTGAAATGATTCAGAAGGACAATCTGGGTCAAGTTTAGTAGAACTGCTTGAATATTTCAGTGTAAAATCTGTGGGAAGTATTAAACCTGTAGACTGTACTACGTTATATGGGGGAAAGTATTCAACACTTTGTTTTTTCCTGGGAATGGTATTTCTAAAGGACCCATTGGAATTCAACCAAATTTAAACAGAACAAAATCTTAGAAATTAGTGTAACAAAAATGGAATGACACCAGGAGAAAGTGCTGAACTACTAAAACGTATTTAATACTTTATATCAAAGGCTTTTTTTGGTGATGGCAGCTTAGATGCCTCTCATATGGAGAATGAAACCACATGCATAGCTCAGGTGTGATCTTGACGGTTCTGTGGGTCTCGTCTATCAAATCTGATCTTTATTTTGTATTCTCTATTGGATTCAAGTCAGGGGATTGGCTGGACCATTTTTCAGCTTGATTTTCTTTCTCTGAAAGCATTTGAGAGTTTGCTTGGCTGTTTTTTATTATTGTCCTGCTGAAATGTCCACCCTGGTTTCATCTTCATCATCCTGCTTATGTAGATGTTGAACTGAAGCAGCTAATATTTATTTACAATGGTGAAGGGCAAAGGCTTCCTGAAGAACTACTGAGAGATTTCAGCTGCTGTCTGGGCTTTCACTGCCTTTCTACACCTCCCTTTCTTCTTGTGTTCAATACTTTTTACTCGTCGTTTAATTTTATTACGTATAACCTCATTTGTAAACTAATTTGTTTAGTTTTCTTTGCATAATTGGATTTCCTTAGTTGTTACCAACATCTGGTAAATTTCAAGTCAACAGCACCTTTAGAAATATGTTTTCTGAGAAAAATTGTTCAGCATAGTATACTTATTTCCTTCATTGTAGTAATGTTTAAAAGGTGGGGTTCTCATGCTTATTAAAGTAATCAGAAATATACTTAACAAACGTATGATCTGAAAGATTGTGCTGTTATGCTCAACAAAAGAAATACAGTAAAAGCAACAATATATCTGTTATTACTGTTTTTGAACAGCTTTGGTTGAGTGTAAGACTTTAATCTTTTAGATGATACTTTTATAATCATTACTTAAGTCTTTAGTAACATGTTCTTTCAGAATTTTTTTTAAAATGCTGAATTTTGCTCTACAAAACTGGCGTCATTTTTTTTATTTTGTCAGTGTATTTTTTTGGGTGTAGACCAGGGGTCTGTTCTTGTGCATTGCTCATTTGACTGAATGATTTTATTAGTGATGACATTGTCCACAATAGTATCGTTCTTCAAAGCTCATCCTGGAGTTGTTGTCAAGCCACAGGTCTAATTTAAGATTCACAACATTGTCATTGCAATCGAAGGTGATACCAAAAGTCTGTAACAACTGCTGATATTTTCTTACAAGAATGCTGCATTAAGTTGGGGAAGGTAATAATGTTGTAAAATTAATGGTAATGTAAGTTAATGTAATCTATAGTATACAATCTACATATATCTACATATTATAGATAATACAATAATCTGTAGTATACAATCTAAAATAAAGTTACAAAACTGTCACTATTTGTACCTTTTTTTTAAGAGATTGTTATTTTACTTTTTAGTGACTAATGTACACGTTTGGGACTAATATGAAAACCTTTTAGTTTCAAAAGTAATCTCTGAAAAGATACCGTCCTAGCCACAATTTCTGAAAGTGTGTGACAGTAGAAATATTTTTTTTGTGAAGGAATAATTACATAACTTGTGGGAGTCATGTACACACAATGTTGGTAGCTAATATGCAGATGTTTTGATGTAGCGCAGGAGATGCAGACACTTATCAAATATGAAAATGCTTTTTTTATGCTAAATTAATTTTAATAAATTTAGTTATGGCTTTCTTTTTCAAGGGATTACTCTCACATAAGACACTCTTGAAAGAGAGATTACAAATGTCAAGAGGTTTCCTGCTAAAATAGGTTTAAAAGGATAAACCTAAAAGTAAAACTAAGTGAATTGCTAAATACTATACTTCGGACAAAATGTAAAGCCAGAACACATGGCCTAAAATAAATGTGGAAAGTTATTTTGTATCATTTAACAAACGGTTTCATTTACTACAAATTTGACATTATTTTGCTCACATGGCTGATAATTAATCAGACGAGCTCCTGATGATGCATTGATGGTCACAATTTTAAAGATTGATAGATCAGTCCTTCACAGTAATCACGAGTGCACACAAGAAACTCAAATCAGTTCATTCTGATGTTTTTATTTGATTTTCATGGTTATTTGAATATCCAAATTATCCAGAAATCATAATTAAAGGATACAGGATCTGCCAAACCATCTTAGATTAAGCAAGGAAAAAAGAACAAACCTCAAGGTTTGTTTACACTTTCCTATGAACCGGATCACATTTACAGAGCAATTGCATCAGAGATTACTTTAAGCAAACTGTGAAAAATATAGTTTTTTTCTTTTCAAATGAATATTTTGGGGACCAGAATGCAGTTTGCCAATGTAGTTTAGTGCCAGCAGTGTCAGAGAAATCAAATGTCTATTTGGTTATGCAAATGTGTTTGTTTTTGTGATGATTTTGTTCTTCCAGAGCAATTATTTCAGGCTACAGTTGTGAGCGCACTTGCAACAGGGTTGTTATTGGCCATGTGTCATATTGTGTTAATGATAATCTCATCCAAAAGCTCCCTATTGTTTTCAATATTAAGTTTTTTTTTTTTTTTCCACCTCCTGTCAATCCTCTATCTGTCATTGTGTGTATCAGGCGGTGAGTCTTTCTGGGGGAAGCCGTTCAAAGATGAGTTCAGACCCAATCTGTCTCACACTGGCCGTGGGATTCTGAGCATGGCCAACTCGGGACCAAACACAAATAAATCACAGTTGTGAGTAAATGTTTCATCTACACATTATTACACTTTACTGTCGTCACACTGTAGCAAACTTTATTCAAACTGCATCAAACATTCGGCTTTGTTCTAAATACTGCAAGTTATTCAGCCTCTCTCTATATACAGTTGAATACAATTATTATCTTCTGTGAAAATGCATTATTTTTCAAAGATTTCAAGTGCTGTTTAACAGAGCAAGAACATTTTCACAGCAATTTTCTCTGATATTCTTCTTCTGGAGAAAGTCTTTTTTAGTTTAGCTGAAATAAACATTTTTTTCAATATTATTAGCCCTCTTAAAGGGGTGGTCCACAGTGTATTTTTAAGGCTTGGTTGTGTTTATAAGATGTAAAGCAATGTGTGCTCAAGCTTCACTCATAGAAAATCACGTAATTTTTTCACATATCTTACTTTGATTATATACAGCTACTCAGCTAACATGAAAACAACTGTTATATTTCCTGGTTTTTCTTAAAAGCCTGCCCTCAAGAGGCTCTGATTGGTCAGCTAACACAATGTGCTGTGATTCGTGGATTCCTACAAACTCACACTTTTGCGCTGTGTAAACGCTCTCAGTGAGAGTAACTGTTAGCAGTGTTAGCTGCCTAAAAAAAGAGCACACAGCTGAACTTCACACCTGCACTCTAACATAAAACCTGACAAGTGTCTTTCTTTTATATACAGTTGACGTCAGAATTATTAGCCCCCCTTTGATTTTTTTTTTTTGATTTCTTTTTTTTTATATATATATATTTCTCAATTGATATTTAACAGAGCAAGGACGTTTTCACAGTATGCCTGCTAATATTTTTTTCTTCTAGAGAAAGTCTCATTTGTTTTATTTCGGCTAGGATAAAAACAGTTTTGAATTTTTAAAAAAACATTTGAAGGTCAATTTTTAGCCCCTTTAAGCTATATTTTTATTCCCATAGTCTGCAGAACAAACCATTGTTATAAAACCATTATTATTAACTTGCCTAATTACCCTAACCTGCCGAGGGAACCTAATTAACCTAGATAAGCCTTTAAATGTCACTTTAGGCTGTATAGAAGTATCTTGAAAAAATATCTAGTCAAATATTATTTACTGTCATCATGGCAAAGATACAATAAATCAGTTATTAGAATTGAGTCATTAAAACTATTATGTAAAAAAAAATTCTCTTTGTTAAACAGAAATTGGGGGAAAAATAAACAGTGGGGCTAATAATTCTGATTCAGGGTTGTAAGTATGAGTAAGTAATATGAAAAGTTCTCATGTCTTTTGCGAATTTGTTATTTGAGATGAACATTGTGGGTGTTTACAGCAGTTTGACTGATAAATATGGATTTCTAACTAAATTGTTGGCGGTGCCAAACAGCATTTCCAGTTTTTTACATCCTTGTTTACGTCCTCACGTAAACATACCATTAACGCTAGAAATGTGTGCGTGTAGTTGATCAATTTTAACAAATAAAAATACTTACAGGTTGTGGCTTACAATCCACAGCTCTATCTGTTGGAGGAGTTTTTAGTGGAATCCAACACTGATTCTGGAAGCTCTCCTTTGTCAAACGCTAGCTGTATATTTTTTTAATTCTCTGGAACATAATTAAAATGAAACTGTAAACACCTCTCTCTTTGTGTCGTGTCCTTTGGAAGCCCAAATACAGAAACAGAAGAAGCTCTGTGAAAATAGCAGTGTTTGGATGGCATTTTAGCTTTCTATGCTATAACATTACAGCGCCTTTGTACACACCCCTTTGCTGCGTGTGGTGTTCACGAAGTGTATGCGCATAACATGAAGCCCTTGTTATCTCACTAGGCCGGAAGTATTTTTTGTAGTCCCAAAATTTCCTTTGCTGTAGGCTTTGTTAAGTTAACTGTTAAGTTAACTGTAAAAACCAATGTCTCCTTTTGTATTGAATTTTGAGCACATTACATTGAGAGATTTTGTTTATGTTCACACAGCTACACATGAACTAAAGTTTAAAATATGATATCGCAGTGGACCACCTCTTGATATTGTTCACTTGGCTACAGAAAAAAAAACACTGTTTTTCAATAACTTGCCTATTTAATGTTATAAACCTAGTTAAGTAATTAAATTGCGCTTGTACGTAAAAATGCTTGCATATGCCTTAAACATGAACTTGCCCTGTTTATAAAACTCACACAAGAATTTTTTTTTATTCCTGTTTCAGCTTTATAACATTTCGCTCCTGCGCATACCTGGACCGGAAGCACAGTGTTTTTGGAAGGTAAATATTTTTGGGGATTTATTAATCTTCTCTAAGGGCTTTTGACACTTACTAAAGGTACGCCCATATGTTTTATTTATTTCATTTCTCTTTTTTTTCTATTTTTATTATGTCCATTTATTTCTGTCTTTAGTATGTTTTTGGTTAAAAAAGGTAAAACCAAAACAAAATGAAAATTGTCTGTCTGTCTCTGTCATTCTATCTGTCGTTCTATCTCTTAATTGTTCTATCTATCATTCTGTCTATTGTTCTATCTATCTATCAATCTATCTATTTTATCTATTATTTTATCTGTCTGTCTGTCTTTCTATCTATTAATCATTTTATCTATCTATCTATCTATCTATCTATCTATCTATCTATCTATCTATCTATCTATCTATCTATCTATCTATCTATCTATCTATCTATCTATCTATCTATCTATCTATCTATCTATCTATCTATCTATCTATCTATCTATCTATCTATCTATCTATCTATCTATCTATCTATCCTATGTTGCATGAATTTTGTATCTTGACACACACACGTATGCATACTCACACACATGCACTCTACACTGAGGGAAAATCTTGCCCATTTGGCACTGCGTTGAAATCCTTGGACTGTAGCTGTGGAATTCGGAGGTTTGTCAGCATAAGCCTTGACCAAACTCACATGCACCCCTTACACCACATGCTGTTTGTGTGTGTGTGTGTGTGTGTACTTACTGAGCACGTGCAGTTAAGAACACACACACACCCCTTAACCCTCAGCCTATGGGGCACCTAGTCATTCTTTAAGAGAAAACAGCCCACAGGACCCGCTGTAGAACAGAAACAGCACTATTCATACAGATTTAATACAACGAACAAGAAAATTAATGGATAGCTTACTGATCATTTTATGTTATGGATTGCTTGCTGACCACCAAACTTGGGAAAAGTTAATCCAGTTTGATCGAGTTTCATTTAATAAATCATCTATGATTATTATTTGTAATTATATATTTTTCAATTCAATTCATCTTTATTTGTATAGAAATTTTACAATATCGATTGTGTCAAAGCAGCTTCACATAAATGGTCATAGTAACTGGATATTTGAATGTTTACGAAGCTGTTTGTTAAATTATAAAAAAATGAGATGAGATTGTTGCTTTTTTTTTTTTAAATAATCATAAATGAGGAGTCTGTATGGCATGTAAACCTTTTTCCAGATCTTCCATATTAGTGTTTACTTATAATTATAATTGACTTTTATATTTTCATTTTGTATTATTTTCATAAAAGTTAGAGAATAATTTGAATTATTCGGTGATGTCCTTGTCACTTTAGCTTATTAATATTTTTTTAATTGTATGCTTTGCTATTTTTATTACTTTTGAGCACTAGTTTACATAACTATAATGATACTACAGATGTAGCTTGTATAAATCATTCTGAATTAAAAAAAATAGCAAAACTACAACATTTAACCACATATATTACAAACAATATTTAAATGAATAGTCCTCAATCAACTACTGTAATAAACCTTGTTTTGTTGTTATTTATTGTTCATCTAAAATTATATTTTATGTTTGTTTTTGTTTCATTTTTAGTTATCAATAGCCTGGTTTCAGACACAGATTATGCAAAGAATTTGCTATTATTTTGTAAATGTTGGTAAAATGGTTGGGAAATCAAACAATTTCCAATAGCCAAAGTTACACAGCTAAAACATTACAATAAAATCAAACGAGGAAAATAAATCTTTAAAAATGCATAAGGGACAAAAGTCTTGTCCCCTGTCCAAGTTTTAGAAACAACAAATCATAACTTGACTTCTAGTTGATTATTTGGCATCAGAAGTGGCTTTTATGAAAGGCAAAAGCCTCTAGATTACACTTATTTTACTAAAATAAAATATGATCATGCCTTGATTTTTAATCATTTAATTAGGACAGTAACGTCTGACTTTGCTTAGACAAAAGTCTTGTCACTTAACAGAAACAATGCAACCCCAAACCATGATTTTTCCTACACCAAACTTGACTGATTTCTGTGGGAATCTTGTGTCCATGTGGGTTCCAGTAGGTCTTCTGCAGTATTTGTGATGATTGGGATGCAGTTCAGCAGTTGATTCATGTGAAAAATCTACCTTCTGCCACTTCTTCAAATGATCAACTACTATAGAAGTCAAGTTATTATTTGTAGCTCTTACAAATGGGATTGTTGACAAGACTTTTGTCAGATAGTGTATATGTAGTAAATCTGTTTCCATTGCAGTTTTGCAATATATTACTTTTTCCACATTGCCTGAAAACCCCCCATTTAATGAGCATAAAACATTTCGCGATATTTGGGAGTTTCCATTTAGCATATTTTCAAATTAATTTGCAAGATTTGACTGATAATGAAAATGCAGCTTAAAACAACTGTGTAGCAAATCAGTCGTAAAAACTACTTATTTACTTGGTTTTTATTGTACCTTTTTAGCAAAATGGCTCAAAATGAGGGATACAGGATTTTCACATTTGGCTGCGCTTTTCCTTTAAGAAATGTTCAAGCTTGTTGGCTGCTGTGAGGGAGTTTGATCCAGTCTCAATAGAGATATTATGACCGCTTGGCACTGAATAATACCTCATTTACTTTTAGCAGAAGCATTTTAATAGGATTTCTGTCCCTCCCTTGCTCTCTTTTAGAGTGGTTGGTGGTTTAGAGACTCTCTCAGCGATGGAGAATGTTGAAAGTGATCCGAAGACAGACAAACCCAAGGTGCTGAAGCCTTTTATTTATCTTCTGTAGCATCAGAAATGTATGACCAGGTTGCACAATCACACAGTATGGTTTGTGTGTGCTTTGTTGACTCATGGTTCCTCCTGTTTGTTTATATTTTACACCTGCTGTCAAATACCAGAATGCCAAAAGATAAATAGTTCCTTTTCAAACAGCTTGAGAAGACAAACCTCTTCTTTTCACATTGAACCTTTTTATTTTCATTATTTTTTGTGTGTGTTTCATGTCAAAAGCTAATTAAATATTTTAGTTTGGGTCATTTAGCTTGATACTTAAATGCTCTTTTTTAAAATTATGTAATTTTTTGAATTTATTTTTTATTTCTACATTTTTTAAAAGGAATGTTTCCTTAGAGTTAAATGTGTGAATTTGACAATTTTTTAATCCATTCAGCCCAATCCATTCTGTGGGTCTTGTGGGAACATTTTTAGCTTAGCTTAGCATAAACCATTAAATCGGATTAGACCATTAGCATCTCGCTCAAAAAAAAAAAAATTTTGAGTTTTGATAATTTTACTATTTAAAGATTGACTCTTCTGTAGTTTTTATTATATTTTCATTCAACTCAAGTTTATTTGTATAGCACCTTTTACTATAATTATTGTTTCAAAGGTTTACAAAAGGTTAAATACAAATTTAAAGTTAATATTTAAGTTAATATGTACAGATATGGTTAACCTGCAATGTTATTACATATAGGTGATGTCTGTGTGTACATGTTCAATGAAGTGTATTTGTGTATTAAGTGTATATGTTATATTTGGCGTCATCTCTTCATATGTGTTGTCCTCAAGGTTCTCAATGGTTAGCATCATCTCTTCACAGGTCTTGGATCTCATCAATGGCGCTGCACAATCTTTAGAGGCCTTGTGATGAGTACCCCCAAGTGGAAATAGAGAACAAGAAAACAATTAGTTTAACTGCTGTTCATAATATGTAGTAGTAAATTTAACTTAAACGCTTTTCTCAAACTCGAAGTGCTACAAAACAATAATACAAAAAACCTTGGATAACAAAATGCAACAAATAGTTCAAAAATGACAGAAATTCTCATACATTAAAAGCAATACTAAACAGGTAAATCTTAGGCAGTTTCTTAAAGTTGTCCAGGGAACTGGCATTCCTGATGGTTGTAGGTTAAGCATAGGTTTCAGTATAACCAGGAGCAAATCCATGTACCGCTTTGAATGTTAAAAATCAGATTTTTAAAATCAATACATGACTTGACGGGTAGCCAGTGTAGTTGCTGAAGTACTGGGGTAAGGTGATACCGTGTCGTGTGTGTCAACATGCATGCAGCTGAGTTTTGAATGTACTGTAATGTCCTGAGAGCACTAGCTGGAAAATTTATTTACAGAAATCTAGGCGAGAATTGATGAAGGCATGAACAAGCCTCTCAGTGACAACTTTTACATGGACACTAATAATTTGATTTTAATGCGATTAAAATACTTTTTTTATACTTTGATTAAGAGTCTACCATGTAAACAGCAATTTTTTATTAATTAGATTGAGGTCATAATCGAACTAAAGAGAAATCGAATTAAGGCATGGAGTATGCTGATTTTAGTCGCATTATTGAAGTGCAGTACAGACATATAAACACCTTAATCAAAATATTACCCTTATGTAGGACTTTTTGCCTCATTTTGCGACAGGGTAGTCCACACACACACACACACACACACACACACACACACACACAAACACACACATACATACATACAGACACGGTTGTGGGACACACTGTTTGAGGCATCTACCGAGTCAGAGTAGACCACAGACACCTGTATTGCGAAATGCAGACTTTTTTTTTCTTCCATTCAGCATGCGGTATGAACTTCCATTAAAACAACACTCTTCCAGCAGATCATAGTTGCATCCAATATCTCGTTTGTCACGGGGGGGCATGCAGGAAATGTTGCCAAATGAAAGGGAAAGTGCCAAACCGCAGATCAAGTCGACAAATTGATAATGAAACACAAAATTACATGAAACTCTGCAGGAAACACGGATAGCGCGGGGTCGCAATGACCTTAATCTAATTATGTGCTATAACATGTAAAACGGGATCATGAAAGAAACATTCAAAAAGCAACTCATGTAAATGCCCTAATCTTAATATTGTATTAATTAGATTAAGGCAAATAATTCGAATTCTGATGTCCGTGTAAACATAGTCAGTATCTGGTGTCAAAAGAAAGGGTCTAATGTGCGCAATGTTTTAAAAAAAGCTATATTTGTTACATGTTTAAATTATATTTTAAGCTAAGACAAGCATCAAAAACTACGCCAAGATTGGGCACCTGCGGAGGTGATGATAATTGTAAGCCATCGAATGAAAGCGTAAAATTACTACTCTTATTAACATTAGAAGAGGTATTTGTATATGTAAGGGTTATATGTATTTGAGCAAGAGATATTAAATATCAATGCAAAAATGAAGTGCTATAAATGAAAATAGCAGTTATACTAACAAACAGAAACAAACATAAGTATTTCTAACAAAATGTCTGGTGCATTAAGACAGGAGGAGTGTATCCTTCAGGTGGTTTGTCTAGCCCACTCATCTGCATGAAGTACACTCATGCATACTCTTTCTATTGTAATAATCAAGGAACTTTGCAGCTGTACTTTTGCTGCAGCAGCGTCAATGATATTGCACAGTGCCTGAAAACAGCGCCCAACAAGGTAACAGTGCTGTGTAATATCATTGTGCCTGCTGGAGCCATGGTACGGCATCAACGTTCCTTCATTATTATGCAGAGTATAGTTCTTAGCCATATCGGCCTAGAAAAATAGCAATTCTTCATTTACTGTCGGTCATAGTAATTACAGAAGAGCAAAGCTTAACAGGAAAATCATCGAAACTCCTTTTTTATATTTTTGACTGAGATGCTAATGGTCTAATCCTATTTAATGGTTTATGCTACGCTAAGCTAAAAGTCATCCCGCCATCCCGGAGATTAGCTTTCTTGAATTTTTTGGGTTCAAAAATGTGAAACTCAACTGTTTACCTCTAGGAGAATTGTAAAATGAGTGTAGAAATTTAGTTTAAAGTCATCTACTTCTTCAAAAAGGCCTAAGACAAATTTGTTTTTCATTTTCATTTATTTGCATGATTTTATTTTGTTGTGCTTCATGTGAAAAACTTTATTTAATCTTGCAACATTTAGCTTGATATTTCAATGCTTTTTTTCTTAAAAGGTAACCGCATGCTAATAGGTAAAGACTGTTTTCTAAGCCTGACTCTGTTTCTCTTTTACATTGTCAGTCTGAGATTAAGATACTGAGCACTTCAGTTTTTGTGGACCCGTATGAAGAAGCAGATGCCCAGGTCAGCACTTTTATGCGTGTATGTTGTCATGTTGTATTTGATGTGTTTGCATGCTGCGCAGCCGATGTAACTGTGTGTGTGTTAGATTGCAGCGGAGCGAGAGAAGGAAGCTCAGAAAGTGGAGGAAGAGAGAGCACAAACTTCTGCTCTAGTCAACAAGGCAAAAACTGAGGAAAAGCCTAAAGCCTTCAGACCAGGAGTGGGAAAATACATCAACATGTCTGCTACGTGAGTTCACACATATTGGTTGTTGAATATGACAACATTGTAATAGTGCAAGACTTTATTGGGGTTGTTATTTACCAAGTTATTGCATTGATTAAATATTTGATCATTACTAAGGTACTATGAGTCACATTGCCAGAAGCTTTCCTGTGAGCACAGAACTGATTCACACTGAATACATGAAGTCTCGACATTTATTTTGGTAATTCTTATTTTGGTAATCCATCTTTATCAAAACAGTCTGATTATGAGCAATAGTGTTTCATTCTTTGACTTGAAAATATGAAAGTTATTTGTTGTTTATCAAAAAAGGTTATAGGATCATAGCAGTGCTATCAGATTGACTCAGAATCTAAAACATCACAGGACGAGAAATTATTAACCTGGAATTGGTTAAAAGATTCTTAAAAGCTGCAGCAGCGTCAGAAGATCTGTCGTCTGTCTTTTTAATGTTTGTGGCAAAACTACCGTCACTAAAAAGACAGACTTATTAAGAAAGATGGATGGATATAGGAATAGATAAATGATGGATGGATATATGGATAGATAAATAGATGGATGGATATACAAATTGATAAATGGATGGATGGATATAGGGATTGTTTAATCGATTGATAAATGGATAGATGTATAGATTGACAAAATGATAGATGCGCCTATGGATTGATAATTGGTTTAATGGATTGGTGGACGGATGGATGTATTTATTGATAAATAGATGGATGTATGTATGGATTTAGAAGTGGATGGATGGATGGATGGATATAGAATGATAAATGGATGGATGATATGTGGAATATGGAATGTATGGATGGATGGATAATCCTATAGATAGATAGATTGATAAATGGATGGATATAGGGTTTGATAAATGGATGGATGTATACAGATTGATGGATTGATAAGTGGACGGATGGATGGATGAATGATATATGGGTTGATAAATGGATGGATGGATATACAGATTGATGGATGGATAGATGGATATATGGATTGATAAATGGATAGATAGGTGAATGGATATAGGGATTGATGAATGGGTAAATATAGGAATTAATGGACGGGTGGATATATAGTTTAACAAAATGATAGATGGATATGTACATTTATAAATGGTTTAATGGATTGGTGGATTGATGGATGGATTGATTTGTTGATAAATGGATGGATATGTAGATTGATAAGCAAATGGATGGACATATGGAATGAGAAATGGATTGATGATTATTTGGATTGATAAGTGGATGGATGGATATGTGGATTGATGGATGTATTGATTTATTGATAAATGGATGGATATGGATTGATAGATGGATGCATGGATAGATAGATAGATAGATAGATAGATAGATAGATAGATAGATAGATAGATAGATAGATAGATAGATAGATAGATAGATAGATAGATAGATAGATAGATAGATAGATAGATAGATAGATAGATAGATAGATAGATAGATAGATAGATAAACAGAAAGATATACGGATGGATAAACAGATGGATAAACAGATGAATAGATGTACAGACGGATATTTTGGTAAATACAGGTGGATGCATCTTTACAGTGTTGACCATATTTATGCTGGATTTAATTCTGGTAATGGCAAATAAGTGTTTGTGGGTGTCAGTGGTGAGGGTTTGTCCTGCACCACAGCAGGGCTCAGGATATGAGCATAGTTTACTGTGAGCAACAAGAGATCGTTCTAATTATCCCTCACAACCCCACTGATTTTCACACGCACACACACACTCATCCCCAACACACTGACTGACTGTTAAAGAGACGAGCGCACACATGCACAGTAATTTGAACACCTGCTGCTCACACCCAAGTCTGGATCTCTCTCTCTCTCTCTCTCTCTCTCTCTCTCTCTCTCTCTCGCACACACAAACACACAGTCACTGCTACCTGATGGGAACAGATCCATCTCTCACATGCACACACTTCATTTGTTTTTATGGCAAAAATACAATTTTTATATATTTTTTGGACTTATTGTTTATGTGCAAGCACAGGGTTTAATTAAATAAATGATCTGAAATTCTCAGCATAATTGAGTACACCTCCTTTTGAAAATGAATATTTTGGTGCATTTCTCTGTAAATATAACCAATATATTTGGTGCACTTAAACAAAACCTAATTAGTAAGCTGTTATATCCATTAAGAATTTGGTCATTAGGAATAGAAATGTAATATATTTTAAAAAACTGAAAAAAAAAACAAAGAATTTAAACACATTTAAATGTTTTTACCTTTCTATCAATTTTTCAACTTTATAAACAATTTGTATATTTTTCTCTAACTTATACTTTTTATTGTATTCATTTTTAGACAGTGATCTTAAGTTTTTTTTTTTTAGATTAGTTCTAGTTTTGGCTTTGGTACTGAATAATGTATATATGAGCAATATCACACAAGTAGCAGTCGATATACAGCCACATCACACTGCTACTTGTATGATATTGAGTTTATACAACAGTTCGACAGCATAATCGTGTGTAAAAAAGAACATCAAACACGAAGACTCTAAAATCCCTTTTGTAAGAGGAACTACTTTCTTCTGCCATTCCTTAACATCTGCAGCTGACGTCAGAACAGCAGAAACCATTGCTCATCCACCAATGTAACTTTAGAGCTAGTGTTTGAATGATTCTCTAGCATAATGTATAAAGTGATGACAAAACAGGTGATTTTGCTGACATGTTAAGATTATAAAGCAAAGAGCATGAATCAGTCTACAGAGATTTCCCAGTATTTCTTTGTTGCAATCGAGAAATCACAATAACTAATCCTGAAAAAGCCAAAGCAGGGCAATCACGACCAGATTACTGTTGTGTTTGCGATAAAGAAAAACGCTAAACACATGCGGGCATTTCTTTTTTCTTTCTTTTCACTGAACTTGTCTGGACTAATGAAAACAGGAGACGCATTAGAAACAAACAGATGGCCAACAAAAAAGTAACTCAGGGTTATACAAAGAGTGGCTAACACAAAATACATGCGTTCCGCATATGAGTCCCATCTCACACTCAGTACACTACAATTACTATGGTATAAATACAGAACAACAACATACAAAAGAGAGAGCTCGACTTAGAATGTCACATACCAGTTTTATAATGATTTGATCAGCTGTAGTTTGAAATTATGCATAGCTTTTCTCCCCTAAGGACTTAATATACGGTCTCTGTTGCCATCTTGTGGATGTACAGTGTCAACTGTCTTTGCTCTGCTCAGTATGCAGGCTCATGGATGCCGACGTGCTGTCTCTCCAAAATTATAAATATTTAAAAATAGGCACTAACCTTATAAATAAACTCCATGGATGCAATCTAAACAACTACATTCTCCTCTAAAAAAGCCTCAAACGCATATTATGTTGTCCAATAGCAGCAATATTTGTCAAACTGTAGTGAGTTTGTTGATCTGCTGTCACTATGTGGGCGAAGTAATACAGAATTGTTAAGAGGCTGTACAAGTTCTGATATTGCAGAATATTGCACGGCTATCAGCCAATCAGATTTGAGAACCAGACAGAACTGTTGTATAAACTCAGATATATTAATGTATATCTTCCTAAAGAAAATAATACTTTAAAAGAGAGATCTGTGAGAGGTGTACTCATTTTTGCTTGGTATTATGTATGTTTGCATGTTTGTAATGACATTATTATCATATATATGACAATTCTTTTAAAAAAAGTAACCTAAATAAAAAAGGAGTAATGACTTCTTAAAATGTAGGATTTTATTAATTAAAATTAAATTAAATATTTTGGTTCCATTTATGACCTCTAAACATTGATGCTTTTGCCAGTGTACTGTCAAGACCTCTATATAAACATGTAAAGAGCTTCTATTGTGATGAGCTGACTGGTTTGTGTTTGATGGCAGTAATAATGTTAATGTGGATGCAGATTTGCTGCTTTTTCTTTAATATCAGCAGATACTGCAAAACTGCATTTACATTTTGGCAGATTCAAAAACGTTATGCTTTGAAAGGTGGCAAACAAACTGCTGAGGTCAGCCTCGCATAATCATTAGTGAATCAATTACACAAACCTAATTAACACTGAATGTCTCATTCACTCTCTTTCATCAGGAAACATTCCCATCCTGATACAGAAAAACCCTCCACTAGTGAAGCTCCGGCCAAAAAACCTAAAGGCAGAACTGGTTTTGGAGACTTCAGCTCCTGGTAGAACAGCTACACCATCCCTCAGCAGATTCTGGGTAACACATGAGATACTGGACTCATATTATTCTGTTTTTTCCCTTATGTTTCCTCTAAAAGCTTTGCTCCTTTTTTTAAGATAAGTGTTGTGGCAGGGATTTAGTTCCACATAGCTTCAACAAGTCTATCTCTGTAAATAAGCCCCTATTTTTGCAAATTCAGTGATTTAATCTTGGTGCTAATAAATGTTTTTTTGCTAAAAATGATAATGCTTCACTAATTTTTGTTTTTGTACTTTGTTAAAAAAATGTTGCTTCGTTAAATTATTTTAGTTGAATCAAACAAACTTTTCTAGTCATCTCAGCATACATTTATCAAACTGGCTAAACATATCAAGTTAACTTAAAAATGCTGTTGAAACCTGATTAACTTATTAAATTAAGTTAAAGAAGCATAAAAACATTTGTTATTACTTTTTGTCATATCATTTGTACAGTATATCATAGGGCTGCTGCACAATATATCATTTGAGCATCGATATCGCAATGTGTGTCCGCAATAGTCACATCGCAAGATATGCTGTGTTGAGTTGGGATTTATAGATGAGCAGGAGGTTAAAACACATGAGATTTGTGGAGACTCTGCAGAACTTAAGCACAATAGAGTGAAAGTTAATCATCTGCATGTTTCTTTAAGACCTGTGACTGTAAGCATTTTAAAAGGGTTCAAAGAATTTTAATAAAGCATAAATACGTTTAATAAAGATTTATTTTTATTGAATAATTTATATGATGAAGTCTGCATTGTTAATTTACATTTGACTACTCAATTTTTGTACCCGAATACTGTTAGACTTTCTCCATAAAACTATAAATCTGTGTTAATTCCACTTTAATATTTGCTCTATTGTGTTTATGACTCTCTTCCGTTTATTATATGTATATTATAAATTACATAAAATATATATAAATTTTTCTTTCCCCTATAAATTAATCTCAATCAATGTAAAGTCTTTGCTAAAAGAGATGATCAGCTGTCTTTGCTAAAATAGATATATCTAAATATCCCCAAAAAATATCCTAATTTCAGATTTTTCCAATATTATGCAGCCCTAGTGTATGGTCATGTGAACTATCATTAAATGTAAATAAATAAATAAATAAAAAGTCAATTTATTTACCTATATTTATAAGTCTTAATGACTGACCATTGGACTAAAAAGATGTTTTAATGTGAAGAATAGACATCTTTTTAAAGCGCCCCTATTATGTTATGTAAAGGTTCCTACGTTTGTTTGGGTCTCCTATATGATATAGGGTTTTAAATCGGCAAAGTAAAAATAAATCAACTAATATATTCATCAACACATGCTTTCTCATGCCAAACACACTTGAGTACTCAAATATACTATCAAATACCAGATATACTTAATAATCAAACTGTTAAAGCAGTGTCATCTGTTGACATGAAGCTGGTGAGCTTGGAGGACTGCATCCATACATCTGTGCAATGACTCAAATAAGTCATTAATAAAGTCATCTGTTAAGGCAAAGAAAGCGTTCTTGCAGGACTCCCAGAGTTCATCAAAATTCTTTGGACTCATTTTCAATGCCGCCTCCATCTTACCCCACACATGCTCAATAACGTTCAAGTGTGGTGACTGGGGTGGCCAATCCTGGAGCACCTCAACCTTCTTTCCTTTCAGGAAGTTAGACGTGGAGGCTGAAGTATGAGAATTCCAATCCTGCTGATGAATTTGCCCTCTCCTGTGGTTTGTAATGTAATGTAATCTACTCTGCAGATCTCTTGCACGCCCCCATACTAAATATAACTCCAAACCATGATTTTTCCTTCACCAGACTTGACTGATTTCTGTGAGAATCTTGTGTCCATGTGGGTTCCAATAGGTTTTCTGCAGTATTTGTGGTGATTGGGATGCAGTGGGATGGGATTGTGATCAACAGATGATTCATCTAAAAAATCTACCTTTTCCAAATGATCAACTAGAAGTCAAGTTATTTGTTGCTCTTACTACTGGGATTGACGACACATCAGATAGTGTAGAGTTGTCATGTTTGCAGGTATTGTGGGATTGTTTTTGTTTGTCACAGGATTCTTCCAATGGGACATTCTGTTTCGATTCATCCAGCAACTTCCAGAATGTTGCATGGAAAGTGTTTGTAGTCTCCACAATAGAGCATTTCTGTGTTTGTGTCTGTGGTTTTTCATGTCTTTTCCTGAAAGGAAGTTTCCTGTGTTTTCTTGCTTTGTCCTTGGCTGTTTTTGCTGAGTGTGTGAGGTTTTGTTATTATTATTTTTTTCTCTCTGTTATGACCCAAGTGTGTTTCATATGACCCTAGGGGCCAATTACACAAGCTCACGGTTTTCTGAGAGTTACGGCCGCTTTCACTTCCTTCTGTCGCCAAATGAGGATGTAGCTCACAGAAGCAGTCAGGTGGAGCACAAAGTTCACCTCACAATAACTTTTGAATTAACTTTATTTTTAGGTAAGATTAGCAACCCTTTAAAATAAGGGTCCATTAGTTAATGCACTTACTAACCTGAACTAAGTATGAACAATGTTGTGCAGCATTTATTATTTGTTGTTTTTACAAATTTACTTATACATTAATATTATTCAGCTATTGTGCTTGCTTACATTAATGGGTCACTTTAGACCAGGGATGGGCAAACTTGATCCTCGAGGGCCGGTGTCCCTGCAGAGTTTTGTTCCAACACTAGTCAAACACACCTGAACAAACTAATCAGTGTCTTCAAGATCACTTGAACTCTATAATGAGGTCTGTTTGAATAGGGTTGGAGCTAAATGCAGGACACTGGCCCTCCAGGATCAAGTTTGCCCACACCTGCTTTAGACCCATGTAGTGCATCAAAGGGTTAAAGCTAAATTTTCAGAATCATTACTCCAACCTTAAGTGAAACATGAATCATGATCCTCCAGAAAAGTCATCATATGATAATCAGCTGATCAATAAATATTTATTATTGTTATTATTATTATTATTATTATCATCATCATCGTTAATTTTGAAAGCTGTTGAGCTGCTGCTTTTTTCATAAATTACATACATTTATCATAAATGCAATAGAGTATCATTTAAAATGCGTTTACTTTTCAGACACCTTAACTCTTTCATTCAAGTAAAGACGTTTATATTATTTATAATGTATAGGGACCGTTCATTCAAAATTGAACATTTACTAATAATTTACTCACCCATTACTTGTTCTAAACCTATTTTAGTTTTTTTTTCTTGTAAACAGACAAGAATATTATTGGGGTGGAAAAGGTATCTAGCATCCATTGACTTCCATAGTATTTTTTTTCTTTACTATAGAACTCAAAGGTTTCCATCAATCAGCATTTCTCAAAATATTTTCATATGTGAGAAACTTTTAAAGGGTTAAAACCACATGAGGGAGAGTAAATGATGAGGTGATTTTTGTGTTTGGGTGAACTGTCTCTTTAAGCCCGAATCCCTCGCTGTGGTGTGTCTGTGTTATGGCAGATGAGGTTTGGGTGTGTAAGTGATACCGGCAGGTGATGTGATCAACAACTTGTTGATCCGTCAGTGGTTTTGCTCCTCCAGCCATTACATAACCTGCATCTGTCTGCTGCCTGACCTGCTCCAGTGTCTGTAGAAGTGATCAGGACTCATTTCTGTCCACTGTGTGTGTGTGTGTGTGTGTTTGTGTGTTTGTCATGGCACAGATGGCAGCTTTACAGCATCGCTTTAGTCTCTTTAGTGTCCGAGTGCAGGAGGAAACACACAGAAATCTGTCACTGTTTACCCAAACCTGCCAATGGATTCTTGTTTAAATAATGTGCTCCTCTGACCTCCACAATCCTGCTAAATCATTTTTAGTGTCCTTTGTTTCCCCACAAACTATTTGTGTAATAATGCGCTTTTTGTGTTTTGTTTGAGATTGTCAAAATTTTAATTAAAATGCACATTTCAAAGTCATTCACAGGACCTTTAATGATATTATCTAATGGATATTGAAAAAGATGAAATGGCCAAGCATCCAGCCTGAAATATACTATCTTATTGAAGCTACAAGTGTTTTTACAATAGAGAAGTTAAAGGCCTACAAGTCTTTGAATGCCTACAATTTTGTTCTGTGTGGTCATGTGCGAGAAATAATGTTCCATGATTACCAGATTCAAAACTATGTAGTGCTAAAAACCAAGGTTCTCCCTAGCCAAGGACAAGGAAAGAAGATGTAACTGTACAATTCCTAGGTAATCATCAACAGGCAAAACAACTGCATTCTGACAGTGAACTACACCTGTACGGCAGGGTATGTGAACTTACACTTTTACATTTCATTCTTAGCATTCAGTGTCTGCAGTCTAATTAACTATATTTAACTGCTGAAATCATTGCTGCAATCAAAAATGAGTAATGTGTATGATTCAGCATAGCGTGAACTTTCCTAATATGAAATAAGAAATGCAGAGTCAAGCGATTTTAATTAGGTCCTCACTCCATTCAGCTCCCTGTTACCCAAAGACGTCTGTGGTTAACATGAAAAGCAGTGTGGTGTACGGTAAAATTTAAGTCTTTTTAAGTTTTTATAAGTAATTATTATTATTCAGACGCTAATTTCATCCTCACTGTTAAAATCAAGTGCTTACTCTTTTTCTTTTTTCTTGGCCTTTCTGAAAACTATTAGTTTTAAGCATAGGCGTTTGAGCATAATTGCGTTATGCATAAATACAGTTATATTACTCTACCCAACTCAATATGTGCCGTAATAAAGTTTATGCAGTCTCCTATGAGAATATGCGTTTCTGAATGAACATTATGAGTTGGCATATGGCTCATATTTTCTTCAATTTACTGTAAATGTAGAGTACTCTGTTTGGTTGAAAGTTGATGGGTGAGCAAAAGGCAGCTGTTTAATATGCAGCAGTAGATTTCAGATGATGAGGAACTGTATTAAATGTGTTTAATGGCACATTTTAAGACATCAGTATATGATTGCTGTGAGGATGGCCAGTGTGGTGAGAGAATCAACTGTGTTTTTCAGAATAACAAGAGAAACATGATGCACATCAACTTTAGATAAATGGATAGATAGTTAGATGTATGGATGGATAAATAACATTGATGGATAGATAGACATTTGGATACATGGACTGACGGATGGGTTGTTTATAAACAATGGATGGATGGATGGATAAAACAAGGAATTGATGCATAGACCAATCGATGGACGGATAAATAGAT